ACACGCAAAAGAAACGCAAGTCGAGTATGCAGTATACATGTTATTTATTTCACCAGTAAAGACAAGAAATACTAATAGGGCAAGATTGACAAAAATTTGACTGAAGACAGTTTAATGGATTAAAATGCAGATGCCATAATTGTTTTTTTCAAATGTTAAGGGCTTACACAGTTTCGGGTCAATACCCAAAATGTCAGTCAATACCTGGTGTGACCACCATTAGCATTGGTCACTGCCACACATCTCCTGTACATTGAGTGGATCAGACGATTTGTGAAGGCCCTAGGGATCCTCCTGCACACAGCCAGAGCAGCTGTGCGTAGTTCATCGGCAGTTGTAGGGACTGGGCGCACATTGTGCAGACGCCTTTCAACCTCATCCCACAAGTGTTCGATGGGGCTCAGATCAGGGCTGAGGGCTGGCCACGGTAGAACACGGGTGTTGTGTTGTTGCAGAAAGGCCATGGTAGCTCTGGCAACATGGTGACGAGCGTTGTCCTGCTGGAAAATGTGATGTTGATGTTGTGCAAAAAATTGGAACAACGTGGGGTCTGATCACTTGGTCTAAATACCGCTGAGCAGTGACGCCGTGTCCCCGGACCTTGACCAACATTCAGAAAGCACATGGGTCCAAGTCTCGCATTAAGTCAAATCCATGCCCATATCATGACGCTAGGTCCACCCCATGGATCCCTTTCCACAACGTTTCTGTCCGCGAAACGATCACCTCGACGCCGCCAAATTCTGACTCTTCCGTCTGCATGGGAGACACAAAAGCGACTTTCATCAGAGAAGATGACACGCCTCCACTCACGATGACGCCAATTGTGATGACCCTGTGCCCACTGAAGTCGTGCTTGTCGACGCCGTGGTTGAAGAACAGGACGACGTGCTGGTCGGCGACAGCTGAGGTTGTTGGAACGGAGACGTCGGAGCACAGTGTCCCGGCGAATGTGTCGATTATGTGTTCCTATGGTCTGTCGAGCACTTTCACTTGCAGTTAGGAACGGATGTCGCTTGTGTTGACGGGTAATCTGCCGATCTTGTCGAGGTGTGGTGACCCTAGGACGACCGCTCCGAGGAAGGTCATCTGTGATCTGTGTAGCATTGTATCGATGCAGGAGACGGTAAATTGTGGTTATGTTAACGTTGAAATGACGGGCAACATCTTAGACACACTCTCCAGCTTCCAAACGTCCGATAGCCTGGTTTCTCTGTATTTTGACTTAGGCATGGCATTGTTGACCAAGGAGTGGTAGGTCCAAGAATCGGCCACAGTTTTATACCCACTACAGTTCGTGTCAGTTCGTGCATTTTCGATTTCGCAAGAAATGAGTGCATGATTCCCACATATTCATTGAAATGGTGCGTTTTGACGAATCGTTTTTTATATTGCGTTTTTACTCGGGGCTTCCAAAATGCAACCAAAAATATTGATAACACCATCAGGCTTCACTACATGCTAAAACTCGTATCAATTTATGGTTCCGTGTTTGTTACCTGTTTGCTTAAAACTACTTGCGTTTCTTTTGTGTGTGAGTATATGTAGAGGGGAAATCGGAGATCATCAGGCCTGTGGGAGACATGTATATGATAAATAGTATGTACCTTTCACTCAGGGGATATAGTAGTGAAACAGATTCAGGGGATAAAATATTCAATGAAGAAACGCAAACGTGAAAACACATAGAGTTCATAACATTGTAAAATTATCAATAAAGGTATCAATATATTTCCGTAATACTCTAACACACCTCTTATTACGTCACTCTGTAATACAATGACGTCTCACTGGATTGATATGACATCATGAGACAATGAATGTCACATAACCCGCTTGATTAGTGTTGAAAAAAGACTGAATCAACCTTTTCAGATAAATATTGTATGGTATTCATTTCGGTAAGCAAAATGGCATGGTTTGTTTTCAAATTTAGAATTGAGACAATCACACTATGAGGAAAAATCTTTATACGCGGTGGAAAGTCAGAGCTCACACTGCCATTCATTTTCCAATGTTGCATATCCTCCTTATTGCCCCAGGCGTTACTGAGTTGGATTGAGATGTGTAGATCATTAGGCCTTAGTCCTATTACGAGAACTCTTGCAGTGTATGCGAGGTTAACACATGCTTGGTGCTAAGGTGATCGTTCTGCCTATGTATGTACAACACACAGCGATGTCAGCATCAGTGTACGAGCTACAAAACTGTTCCCAGCTGATGATGCCTGGTAGTGATTTCAGTCAACATCTGCAACGAATATATTTGAATATTTATGGTTGATCAGGAACGCTTGCTGGATATACAAGTATAATTTCCAGAACGGAATGACGACCATGGCACCTAGTCTTTTAACGATTCCTCATCTGAGAGTTAAGAGGAATGCTATTTCGTTAATCCCTGTTACCCAACCCTCGAAATGAATCCCTATGAAGAGACGCGCTATATTCACCAATCATAGATTGTTTACCACGGGTAATAGGAAAAATGTGTATTGCCTGTGTATTTATTTACGTACCGAGCAGCGGAACAGTTACACGGATTTATCATCTAGGTATGCGCCTACTTTCTTAATACGAACACCCTGCTTTGTTGAGTCGAATGCACTTAAGTATATGAATTACTTACACGTTGGAGTGAGCATGGCTAAACGCAGCTTTGAACTAACAGTATTTCTGTTATATCAAGGAGTGTTTGATGTGAATGTTTGAAGTGATGCAGATCCAGACGTTCTTTAGTTTGGTGAAGCCATCGAGGGTGGTATGGTGCTGGCAAACCTAGAATGTGAGTGAGTGGGTTAGGTTTAACAGTACTTGAACAGTATTCCAGTTATATCGCGGCGTGTCAGCTTAATGTGGGAGGAAAGCCCGAAGTGATACAGGTCTCCCACGAGGACGGGTATGGTTCTGACAAACCTGGAAACATAATCGGGGCGAACAGGGATTCAAACCAACAATTATAGGTTTTCGGGGCGAATATGGGAATGGAAGCAACGATGCTACGTTTCTAGTGACGCGTCTAAGCGACAAAACCCTGCTCGGCAAATGCGGCGCCTCAAACGGCAAACCAAGGCAGGAACATGTTTCTACACAAGTTCTTTACCTAAACTGTTTCTATTACGAGATTCATTGGTCTGTCAACATCCTACCGGGGATCCTGGGTTTCAACAAAGTGACAGACACCTTTAGCCTACGTCATTTTATATTTGCTCCCACATTTAACAAACACGCCGTGTTACTTCCTCCGTAATAACCCGTGAAGATCCGGGGTAGAATAGGTCTTCAGCAACCCAGGTTTGTCGTAAAAGGAGACTATGCTTGTCGTAAGAGGGGACCAACGGGATCGGGTGGTCAGGAATTAATTACCTTATTGTTTTATTGAAAATGCTAGCCCGTGAAGATCCGGGTTAGAAGTGATCTTCAGCAACCCATGTTTGCTGTAAGAGGCGACTAACGCAATCGGGTGGGTTGATGCTCTTTTTATCAATCACTGGATTGTCTGGTCGAGACTCGATTATTTACAGACCGCCGTCACATAGCTGGGATATTGCTGAGGGCGGCGTTAAACAACAAGCCAACAACCAATCAACAACTTTTGTAAGATTAATATTTTTCAAATCCTTTACCCCAAATCACTCAGTGGGGCACCCAATCGATTACCTCAAACATGCAGGTAGTCCGAGAGTGAATGAGTGAGTTTGGTTGCTGTCGCTTTGAACAGTATTTCAGTTATATCACGGCGCGTCAGTTTGATGTGGGAGGAAAGCCCGAGGTGGTGCGGGTCTAAGACGTTTACGACTTCGGTGAAACCCACGAGCACGGTGCTGATAAACCTAGAAACATAATCGTGAGGAACGTTGTTTACACATTATAATTACCCTGCATAATAGAGGATGTTTCAATGTGTGAGCTCCCTGATTGTGTGTCATCGTACACGACATGGTTGATTGTTGCTCTCACTGTCGACCACCGGTCAATTATTTACAGCCGTCGGTAAAATACCGACCTTACGTAAAATAACATTAACTCACACTATCATCTCCCGAATAAATGCATAAGTGGTATGATTTACAACTGAAAACACCGAATTTATAAACTTTCGAATTGATAGGTGTAAGGTTTATTTGATATAGGAAAATTCCAAAATATAAAATGATTATAATTATATGACTTGGTTTGGCTGATAAACAGGCGTGTTCATGTCGCACACAAATGACGCTGATTAATTACTTTGACTTTTTGTTACCAAGAGAGACCGCCTCCGTGGTCTAGTGGTAAAGCGTCCGCCTGGAGAGCGGAAGGTCCGGGGTTCGATCCCACGTTAAAAGATGGTACTTGTTACCCTGTCTGGCATAAAGGGGCTAAAACAAGGACTGGTCGGCTCGGAGTCAGTATACCGTGTCTGAGTGGGGTATTCATGTTAAACTCAACATGGTATCTCAGTGAGCTAGCACTTTAAATCGTCCGGAGTAGTACAAGCAGCCACACACACACGTGCATGCACGTCGCTATATAAGTGCAATAATCTTGTACGCAACGTTGAACCCCATTTCACAGAGCGCACAGGTCACATGTGAGGCGAAGTAAAAGAGCGCTGGCGGCCGAGTGTAGTTGGATGGGAGAGTGCGCTCGGCAAGTATGACGGTTGAGAGTTTCTCGGGTTTCGGTCCTGTAAAACGTATGTTACATGCGGACTCTCCTAGGCAAATGGATGTTCGGAAACTGCCTTTGTCTACCGAACAGTGAATGAGTACCAGGGAAGATGAGATGGCAATGTGAATGCAAATTCCTCCAGCCTAATAGGTTCTATACTCCACAGGGAATTGAGAATGCAATTTATGATGCACACGGGGCCGTTGACTGGGGCAATAATGCCATGAACTTTGAGCATATGTCCCAGTGTTTTAGAATGATGATGATGATGATGATGATGATGATGATGATGATGATGATAATAATAATAATAATAATAATTTATTTTTTTTAAATAAATAATAATAGTTCAGTTTGTACAGTTTATTTGAGAAGCATTTAAAGACGTATTATATTTACACTGTTTCACGAAGGTTTTCAGGTCAGATTTTTCCGGCAACATACGACATTCGACGCGTATCATTGGAGAAGCCGCCCTTGGTAACAGATCTTTGTATTGACAGGTAGAGCCACGTCAAGACGTGACATCGTATTTTCACTTGACGTCAATGTCCTCTAGCGTCAAGTCACCGGAAGAGCACTGCAGTTGAATCGAAAGCTTTGATTGGCTGAGACAATATAACTTCGAAATATGAACAGTCATCGCACTGGCCAACTTAAACTCTCTTCAGCTTTTGTGTCATCTGTCCATTCTTGCTGGCTGTTACCTGCAAACATGAAACTTGTCATTAATCAAACGGCACAGATACACGTGGTATGGTTGTCTGTTTACTGTGCAACGCGAAGCTTTTACGACATTGTTCTGGGCCCCGTTCCTCAAAGCGATCTTAGCGCTACGATGATCGTAACCCTATGTTAAAGTATGGGACTTACGATCACCTTAGCGCTACGATGATCGTAACCCTATGTTAAAGTATGGGACTTACGATCACCTTAGCGCTACGATGATCGTAACCCTATGTTAAAGTATGGGACTTACGATCACCTTAGAGCTAAGATCGCTTTGTGGAACGGGGCTCTGTTCAATTTATCGCCGATATGAAGCGAAGCCGAGAGTCTTTCATCGTCAAAGATACGGCGTTATATATTTTTAATTGATTGTTTGTTGCTTAAAGCCGAGCTAAGGCAATATTCCAGCTGTATGACGGCGGTCTGTAATTAGCAGAGTCTCGACAAGACAATCCAGTGATTGATATCATGGGCATCGATCTACACAATTGGGATACGATGGCATGCATCAACCAAGTCAGCGGGCCTGACCACCCGATCCCGTTAGTCGCCTCTTACGACAAGCATAGTCGCCCTTACAGCAAGCATGGGTTGCTGAAGATCAATTCTAACCCGGATCTGCACGGGTTAGCTTTATATATCAAACATAAAATGTAATTAATTCCTATAGAATTAGGAGACACAGATGGTGATGTCAGGCAGACATGCCGGTGTAGCTCAAAGGGATTAAGGATTTAATGTGACCAATGAACTAACGATCATCTATGTTTTATTGAAAGTTTAGATTTTGAGAACTCGTTTCCAATCAATAAAACAATCAATTCGGGACTGTGAGACTTGTCACTCACTAATAACCTTAACTGTTAACATGATGAATGATTTCCCTTATGCCTCTATAGAAAAGTGTGACTTTGTATGATGATGATGATGATGATGATGATGATGATGATGATGATGATTGAAGAAGAATGTTCACGGTATTATTAATATAATAGGTTAACCTTTCTACGTGCGTAAGGTTCGTCAATGCGGACATTTGTACATCAGGACGATTTAATTTCGAGCAGTTCTGTACCGTCCGGATTAACGGGGTGGTCTGACTGGTCATGAACGGTGTATGTATGACTTACCGCCTTCATGTTTTCACCCTCAAGGCTGCGAGTTACGGTCCACTGTCGGTTGGCGTCAGCCAGATTGTAGCTCTCGACAATGGTGTCGTTCTCTCCTTTCGTGATGGTCAGCTGGAATGATCATGCAGACAGGGTAACAACAAGTACCATCTTTTAACGTCTTTTGGTATGACGCGGCCGGGGATCGAACCCCGACCTTCCGCTCTCCGGGCGGACGCTCTACCACTAGACCACAGAGGCGGTCTCATACCTATGAATTCGAAACTGTCTCGGAATTGCTACGCGATCCAGCATACTCAGCTGTGTAGCCATTGGTGAGGGAGTATTTTGTTTGTTTGTTTGTTGTTTAACGCCGCACTCAGCAATATTCCAGCTTTATGACGGCGGTCTGTAAAATAATCGAGTCTGGACCAGACGATCCAGTGATCGACATCATGAGCATCGATCCACGCAATTGGGATCGATGACATGTATCAACCAAGTCAGCGAGGCTGACCACCCGATCCCGTTAGTCGCCTTTTACGACAAGCATAGTCGCCTTTTACGGCAAGCATGAGTTGTTAAGACCTATTCTACCCCGGATCTTCACGGGTCTGGTGAGGGAGTGAGGGCGTGTGCAGTTCTAGGTGCTTCAGTTTAACTTGGTTAGCCTTTACCCCTTGGCTTAAATTCACTAAGACAGGTATGGAGCTTAAAAACACAAATCATCATCAGGTATTATCTCAGATTCGAACACACGGCCAGTTTTTCTTTGCAGTTAAGGGACGCAAATCTGCTTGATTCCTGAAAGGACGTTATTTTTTTACGACAAACATATTCAAGCCAGGGTGATTTGAAAATTGTGCTGAAAATAAATATATTCAAAACGTCAATGATAGGGAATAATCAGTGTTTGCCGAAACAGGGGGTGTACGGGACGACACGAAAAAACAAGGGCTCGCCCATTAATTATTCGGACCACATCTTAGCGGATCAGTCGCGTAACGTACCTTGGGTTTCGTGCTGTCAATGGCCGTGTATTCGAACTCCTCGCCGAACTTCCACGTGTATTCCTGCTCTCCGACCCCCTCCATGACGATGTGGGTCTTGTACCCGTCCCCCTCCTTGCTGGTGGCCACTGTGTAGTCCAGTTTCGTGTAAATGTCAATCACCTCCTGGGGCATACCTGGAATACAACAACAACATCATCACCGACGTAAGCTACAACGTCGACGCGTATACGTTATTAATGAGACCAAGGATTGAGATTTAATGCTGGATCTCCAACCTTTCAGGTTCAGATCACAATAACCACCGCTGACCACCATGTCCACAGAAGCTAATTTATAATAAAAAGCATCTTATTCAAAAGTATTGTCGTCAGATTGTTTGACTCGTGGCAACGCATTATTACATTGCCACATGACGTTATACCATCGATGGCGTGGGCAACGTTGGTATTATCAAGTTTCGTGGCCCTTTTTATGGTACTGTCAAGTTTAAATATCTTTGTTTTTGGTCATCCTTTATACATTCGCCAAATCTTCAGGGTCAGCGAATAAGAAAAGTAAGTTCTTGATTTTAAATTATGTTTATGTAAATCAGAGGCGGTGGGGTAGCGCAATGGGTACAGCATTCGCTCGTCTCTCTGAAGACCTGGGTTCATTTGCCCATATGGGAAAAGTGGGTGATGCCCCTTTTCTGTTGTGCTCCGCAGATATATTTTTTTGAAATATCACTTAAAACGGCGTTAAACCATACTCACTTACTGAATATATTCATTGTCACTGTCAACAGACTGATTATTATGATAATTGTAGTCTCCGCAAATGTGTGAGTAAATTTGGTTTAATGCCGTTTTTTAAAAAATGATGCAGGTGATAGGCGTTTATACCGCTTTGGTAAACCCACGATCACGTGTATGGTGCGGACAAACCTAGAACCAGAGGGAACCGGGGTTCGAACCCACGAGCATTAGATTCGTGCATACCAAAGGGACACAAATTCTAACAACGAATTGAGGCGCCTCAAAGGACACTGGGCAAATTAAAGGTTTACCAGTTTCTGTTAGCATCACTAACGTAGTACATGAATCATTTATTGCACAATTAGTTTCGTTTTTCTTTTAAAAAAATAATGCTGACGGTGGAATATGGCAAGCTGTTTTTATCACCTGGAGTGGCTTTGATGACATTCCTGTATATATACAGCGGTAATGGTGAATGGTTGCTGATGAACACTGTCTTTCAGACATAAAAGTCTTGACATGTTTTCTATTACTTTTCAAATCAAATAGATATAAACGATGTTTATAAAAAGAAATATGTATTCTCTGAATAAACAAACTCAGATAAAAGTTACATCAGCAGATCTAAAGCAAACAGGCCGAACGAGGCTGAAAACCGCCCCCAACATGGCGGCAACTGATAACAGGACACAGAGACGATTGCAGATCTCGTGATCCTTTGATAGGCTAGTGAGATGGTTAGCGAAGAGAGAGACGAAAACGGCGATCTTGGGCTCAATACCTGATCCGCCCTGATTATGTTTCTATGTCAGCGCCGTGATATAACAGAGATATTTGTAAAAGTGGCTTTGAACTAAAGTCACAGACTCACAAGAAAGCGTAATTTACATTAAAAACAACTTTAGAAAAAATAGTATATTATAATAATTATTTTTTTAATATTGGTCGTTAGATAAAATTAAACCGAAAATAAACATTTTCCTTCCATAGAAATATTATTTGCTTACCTGCAGCCTTGAGGAACTCCTCCATTCCAACAGTCTCCTCCTTGATCACCTGCCATTTGCCGAGGAGAGCGTCCATCTTGATTAGTTGTGAGGAGAGTAGTTTATACGACAACAGAGACGAGACAAAGAGGGCGAACACAGTGCAAGCCGGGCTTTTAAGGTTCTTGGGACTGAACTTCGACTCGGTGACTTGCCATCACAAGACTGAAGTTATCTACGTCCAAAGATGAAGTGATAAACTCAGATAGCTTTGCCGAGCTATATTTAAGAAAACGGTGTCACCATGTTGAATTTCGAGGTATGTTGTGATAACAGATTTCGATATGCTGGTGATAAAAGCAGGAACAGTGTGTCCAAATATATTCTCACTTTTCAGTCCGTCAGATTTACCAACGTGGAGCTAATGCAAACCTGAGATACTGATGTTGTTTGAGATGCGCGAGGAAACCGGCGGGGAACCTTGGGGGTGGGGGGTGGGGTGGTCTTTTGCGTAGCGACCGATCGCTTTAACCACAGGTATACTCCACAGCCCCTTTTAAGAGTGAAGACACATCAAGAGCTTCAATGAGTCAACCTTTATTAAACAAATACTTTGAGTTTTTTATTGTAACCATCCAGGAATTTGCCTTTTTTTACTCAAGGACGCCCAAATAGCATTTGACCATTGAAGACAAGGAAAAGTTCAAAATTGGAGGTGATTGAAAAAGCTACCCAAAACACCTGAACGCAACCACTGGCTTAGCCCATGCACGTGCGTCTGTAGCACATAACAAGTAACAGTGAGTGAGTTAGGTTTAACGCCGCTTTTAACAGCATTCCAGTTATATCACGGCGTGTCAGCCTGATGTGGGAGGAAAGCCCGAAGTGACGCAGGTCTCAGACGTTTACCACTTCGATGAAACCCACGAGCACGGGTATGGTGCTGACAAACCTAGAAACATAATCGGGGCGAACCGGGATTCGAACCCACAATCTTAGGTTTCTGGCGTGACCAAGGGACGCAACTCTGCACAGCGAATCGCGGCGCCTTAGACGACTGGGCCACCCGTGCCCCCTAACAAGTGACAATGTCGGTATAAAATGGTTCATTCCAGATGCAACTGAACAGCACTCCTGGAAGTTGAAAATACGATCTCTTATTTTCTGAGTGACCCCTCATTAATGACGCTGGAATTCATCTTATCGTGCATTAACACGTGGAATACGACCAAACTTTACGAGGGATAAATATTAGACTGAAATTATTATTTGCAGAATTTCTTTTAAACGTCGGACACATGTTTGTCATTTTAATCGTCCGACTCATCACCTCCCGCACAAGCTGATGTCATCTGTTGAGACCCGTTGTCTCCTTGTGTGTCTGTTTACCGGTTATCAATGACAGGCTGAATTCAACTGACCATAGAGGATATGAATGGACGTATGTTTCCAACCGTTCAGATAAGATTACTAAGTATGATTGGCCAGAATGCTGACACAGTATTGTCACTGACCTTTTGAAGATTAAGAGAGTACATGTTCCACTCGCACTAACGGAATTTTGTCGAAGACACAGGGACCATATATATATATATATATATATATATATATATATATATATATATATGTAATTAAATAAGTGGAGTAAGATTGAACACAGTTTTAATAGGTTCCGTACTTCGAAACAAATGTCTGACAGGAGCATCGAATATATTTCGTATTTCTTGTACTATGAATTTATTATACAAATGCAAATATGTGCATATTGCATTCCCTATTTAATGACAAGACAATATCAACCGTGCCAAAATTGTACACAATTGTATCAAGTACACAACGCCTTAATTACAAAGATTGGTTATACAGTCAAGTCTCGTTTATCCGACACTCGGCTTTATCCGACACAAATGATGGGAACCGATTAAATCAGTATTGTTTAGACCCGTTAATCCGACAGTCTCGCACTCCGTCTCGAGAGACGAGTCGGCGAGTAGCTGCATATTTAAACGGCTGCAGAGATAAACTTTGTGGTTGCATGATTAGAAAACATATTCCGCGAACAATGTCACACAACAATATGAATATTTCCTTTTTATTACAACATGTTTGAATCGTTATCTTTCGTGTAGTTGTCCAATTTTCGATCACGACCGTTGATAATACCTAATTTCGTTTATCCGACATACTCGTTAATCCGACATAATCATATGCAACCAACAATGTCAGATTAACGGGACTTGACTGCATGTTATTTTCTGTAAATCTAAAATGCATGTAAATATGTATATGTGCACCTCTTATGCATCTGTTAGCGGCCTGAGTGTAATACATTTCAATGAAAGTCAGCCACAGCAGAAATATGTTCCATGTACATTGTCACAATCGTTTTTGATATTTTTTTCCAAAACAACAGGGTAGATATTGACCTCATAATTATCACACTCAACATCCATACGTTAAACACAGGAGGACGACAGATAGATTACAAGTGTTTCATCACATGATCCACGTGTCCTTATGAATCACACTGTTATCAATAGTGATGTGAGTTACTGGTGTACTTTGTAGCATCAAGTGACTTGTATACATTGTACAATACGTGGGATTGATGCACCACCCGATTAGAGGTAGACATCGAGCGGTCGGTTCACAAATGGTGTGGTGTCAGCTTTGAAACAAAACCAGGCACTATATAATGTTTATTCGCAATTAATTGGTTGTTTTATCAAATGCGTATAACCAAGATGATGTACTGCTGGTATGTGCAGAACGGAATTCAATTGTGATGTATTTATGCCACGTGTTAATTTAGGTCTTCAAACCGTTCAGAATGACTTGATGTCTATCTTTAATCGACGGAGTGTAAGATCCTATCCTAAACCCATATTGATACAATTGATGACAAAACCTTTTTGAATTTTGTTAAAAAAATGAATGAACTCACTGTCCACTGTCTACACAGTATCTACACACAACATAGGGCGATGGGGTAGCCTTGTGGTAAAAGCGTTCGCTCGCTGAAGACCCGGGTTCGATTCCTCACATGGGTACAATGTGTGAAGCCATGGAATCTGGAACAGACAATCCAGTGATTGACATCATGAACATCGATCCACGCAATTGGAATACGATGACATGCATCATCCAAGTCAGCGAGCCTGACCACCCGATCCCGTTAGTCGCCTCTTACAACAAGCATAGTCGCCTTTCAAGACAAGCATGGTTTGCTGAAGACCTATTCTACCCCGGATCTTCACGGGTCTTATGTTTAAGGAGTGGATTTACGTTAGCGATAAGATGTTTTGCGAAGATGGGCCACACGATTATATGAAATCAATCGTTGTTCTCCAAAATCCCCCAACGGTTTCACAAGAGCGTATGTTACAATCATTTTTGGGGGCTGGCGATAGTGACAGGTTAAACTGACTTATTCAGTGAGTGGGTTAATAAATGAGTATGGGTTTACGCCGCTTTGAGCAATATTAAAGGAATATCAAGGCTGGGGACACCACAAATGGGCTTCACACATTGTGGCCATGTGGAGCATCGAACTCAGGTCTTCAGAGTGACGAGGCACTTATGCAGTGTGTTGAAGAGACTTATCATAACTTTTAACAGTGATTTTAGATCTTTAACTTTTGATGCTCCTGAAAGAAGATTTTTTTTTTTATGACTTTTTAAAAAAACATGTTTATCCTTGTTCAGTGTTGTATATTTACTTTTTATCCCGGGGACCTTGATCTCACAATGCTGGTTCAGGGCGCCACGAAATATCAAAGAGCCTTGTCCGTAAATATGGGGATGTATTTAAAGCCTTGGGAAGTAGAGATGTGTTTTATGACACACGTAATTGTGTGCTCCTGCTCGGCGATTCCCATACACGAACCGAGGGTAACTGTATGTCCTCCTTAACATGATCTGATCTGATCTGATCTGAATATTCTGCTTCCCCCCTCTCTATTCTACAGTACTGCACTCCTCTGTACCGTACTGTACTGTACTTTAAAAAATAATGAGAGAGTCGTCTCATCCAATCTAGCCTACTCCTGACTCGTGAAGTCTACCCTTCTCCGGTCTACTCTATTTTCTTATATTCTACTTTATTCAATATTGTCTTGTCTAAGCCATTAATTTTGCTATGGTTTGACCCTGAAATGAGTGAGTTAGTATTGTTTTACGCCGCTTTGAGCAATATTCCAGCAATATCAAGGCGGGGGACACCACAAATCGGCTTCACACATTGTACCCATGTGGGAAATCGAACCCGGGTCTTCAGCGTGACGAGCGAACGCTTCAACCACAAGACTACCCCGTCACCCCTTACCCTGAATTCCTTAAATAATCGACACTTGATAAGTCAAACAAGTAGCTGATATCATAACCTACGAGGGGTTGCAAAAACCTTCTAAACCTAACAAAATAGCATGTATAGTACACCTTTAAAAGTTTGCATGTATTAAGTACACTACTGTCCATGCTTACATGCTTGACTTTAACCAAATGCACAACCAGGCTGCATATTTCCGAAGGCATTAAATTTACCGAACATTCTCACATTTAGACCACAAAAACGTTTAGTTGTAAAGCACAATCGTAAACACCTAAACGTGTCAAAATTATCGGACACCGTAAGTGTTTAGGTTTGTGTTTAGGATCCATACACATGTTTAGTGTAGCCAATACAGTAGTCATCCCTTATGAGAGAGCTGAGAAGAGTCCGAAGAATGAACATGACAAAGGTTTCAGCAGCTGCGTTCTGAGTGACTCCTGATCAGATACGTTCCTTGGTCATCATCTCTCGTGAGAATTTACGTCGTTTTACGTCAAAACTGATTCTGTTCAGCAAAATGTAACCATTCACGAGTCTGGAGTTCACCACTATCGGCCCGAGACTAAACAACAACTGTCAAGGAACTAGATGCGTCTAATGTCTTCCCCGAAGAAGGCAAAGTTTGTTTCGTCAGCTGGCAAGATGGTTGCCTTGGTTTCCTGGAATGCTACTGCTCGAGTTGCTCCCGAAAGGTCGGACCTTTAAAGGCCATTTTTTTATGCTAATCTGCGCGAGAATATCAATTGAAGGGTTAAGTCGAAAATACATTGAAGGTGTGATGTTCCCCAAGGACAACGTACCCCTGCAAGTCTGTTGTCGCCATAGTTGCAATGCAGGCTGTGACGTTGA